GGGCACTCCAGCTGGTGATCGGTGACATAGCCCCCCTCCTAATGAGCGGCTTCCAGATGCTCCTAAACAAGAAAAGACCAGGAGGAGGCGGAGCACATGCGGAACAGTGGGAGGGATCGAGGGCCAGGTCCATGGACAGGAAGAGGAACTGCAGCCGGCGGAGCAGGAAGCCAGGGTGGAGCCAGCTGAACAAGAAGCCAGGGTGGAGCCATCAGAGCAGGATGCCAGGGTGGAGCCGAAGACCACCAGGGCAGAGCAGGCGGAGCCGAAGACCACCAGGGTCGAGCAGGCGGAGCAGAAGACCACCACAGCAGAGCAGACGGGACCGAAGATCCACACGATGGAGAAGATGACCTCCACAGCAGAGCAGATGGGACCGAAGATCCCCACGGTGAACCAGATAACCACCAGGGTGGAGCTGATGGTGCTGAGAGCCACTTCAGCAGAGCTGATGGTGCAGGGGACCACCAAGATGGCTCAGGCAGAACTGGAACCCACCACAGTGGATATGAGGGCCATCAAGGCGGAGCAGATGGAACTGCTATAGCGAGCACAGAGAGGTTAGAAACGGCCCCTGTGGCTGTACAGGACATTCAGAGGGTTCAGGAATGACTTTCATGGTTGTATCAGGACAGACTAAGAGTTCAGAGACGGCCTCCATGGCCGTTACCGGAGAGGCTGAGAGCTCAGAGATGTCTTCAATAGCCAAGACAGGACAGACAGAGAGTTCAGGGACCGCCTCTTTGGCCATGACAGGACAGGCAGAGAGTTCAGGGACAGCCTCCCTGGCCATGACAGGACAGGTGGGGAGCTCAAGGGTGACCTCTGTGGTTGAGACAGAACAGGCAGGGAATTCACAGTCTGACATCAACTCAATCAGAACTCAGAACTCAATCAGCTCTGGAGCTGACTCATGGACTGGAGCTGACACATGGACTGGAGCGGACTCATGGACTAGAGTGGGACGCCACTGCCTCCGAAGTGTGTATAACCCAGACACACAAAATGGCGACCACCATTTACTAGAAGGGCAGCAAAGGGTAGCAGAACCTCTGAGGTTGCCGGGCTTGAGAGTGCTGAGACCACTGGGATGCCTGCCGCCTGACATCAGCAGTGGGTCTGCCACACTGGACATCAGTCTCGGTTGCTATCATGAATCCGGTCCCTGCTGTTCCTCCCAATCGCCACCAGAGGTCTCCATCACCTTTTCCTTACCGGACTCCATCTCCCATAATACCCTCTGCCTAGGAACTGATTATGGACTCATCTCAGTGGGACTATTTAAGCTGCACTCATTCACACACACACACACACACACACACACACGATAATTTTTGGTGCTGCGATATTGCCACTGATAATTTTCTATAATCATAAATAGATTATTCTAATTTTTACATAATGAATGCCATTGTGCTGCCTCTGTCATCTCCTCTGCTCTCTGTGGCGGAGATGGGGGCAGGAGACTATATGAGCTCCACTCACACACACACACACACACACACACACACACAAACACACACACACACACACACACACACAGGGTTAAGTACTGTTTGCTCTGTTTCATGTTTTTTTGTGATTGTTTGGCCTGCCCTGACCATTGTCTGTTCTTGGATTACTCTTTTGTCTCACCCTGGATATTGTTGTTTGCTGTTGTTTGACTCTGCCTGTTCTGACTACGCTCTATTAAATAAAGCCTCAGCTCCGTAACAGAATACTTAGCCATACCTGGGTCCAGCGGCTTTTTGAGTGTTTCCACCCATTGAAAACTATACTCATCCATGATGGTCCTCGAGGGGCACTCTATGAATTTTTGGATTATGCGCTTTTGGCCAACACCAGCAAGCTCCGGCGGCTGCGGAGCTTAGCCCATCTTGGATTCCTAGTCTGGTTATCTCAAGACCGATACTCTCAGCACTCCCAAGCCCAGTGGTCCCAACATCAGAGCCTCTCCACGTAATAGCCACCACTACAGAGCCTCTTCACATCACAGCTGCTGTTCCAGAGCCTCTACACGTCATGGCTGCCACTCCAGATTCTCGTCGCGACATGGCCGCCAGTCCAGAGCCTCCAGCCATCATGGCCACCATGCCTGAGCCTCCAGTTGTTGTGGATGTCACGCCACAGTCTTCAACCATCACGGATGCCACTCCTGTGTTCCCGGTCATCGTGAACGTTGCATTTGAAGACACTCAGGCATTCCAAAGGCATTTGGGGCTGATGGCCAGTGTGGCAGATCCACCGATGGTGTCGGTGTGAGTTACTGGCTACTCCGCAGCCTCAGCGCTCTCAAGCACCGCTGCCTCAGCACTCTCAATGCTTCAAAGCCTTGTAGTTCTTGAAGTAATTCCTCTATCTGCCACACTCCCCATCATGGGGTTTACTATTTGGTGTGTTTGGGCCACACACACCGCTCCAGCTCCTCCCGAGGTGGCAGCTTCCGCTGCAGAACCTCCTGAGGTGGTGACGTCCACTTCACCTCCTCTCAAGGTGGTGGTGCCCACTTCAGAACTCAGTCTGCCCTGTCACAGCCAAAGAGGCCATCTCTGTCTGCTCTTCCTTGGTGGTTGTCTGCTCCGCCGTGGAGGTCTTCAACTCCACCTGCTCCGCCTTGGTGATCCTCAGCCTCAGCTCCACCCTGGCTCTCTGCTCTGCCCTGGCTTCCTGCTTCGCCGGCTCTGCCTCAGTCCCCATGTCATCATCCACTACATGGACCTGGCCCTCCATCCCTCCCCCTGATCTGCTTCCGCTCCACCTTCCTCCTAGTCTGTTTAGGAACTTGTGGAAGCACTCCTTCGAATGGGGGTTTTGTCATGAATTCGGTCCCTGCTGTTCCTCCCATACTCCATCTCCCATAATACCCTCTGCCTAGTAGAATCAATAAATTATGATTTATTGCTATTGTTAATGTATATGTTACAAATAAATATTTATTTAAATTGATCCATGTCTGTACTTTCCACAATTTTTTACATGAAGATTACTTTGCCATTATCAAATTCTCACTTATTCTTGTATCATTTAAAAATACTTTTTGGAATTTATATTTAATGAATAAATGAATGAATTTGATTTAGTAATAGTATCGAATTTAAATAACAGAAATTTACCTTTTATTTTATTATAATTTTTGCGATATGTATATAAGAAGAGTTTCTTGAGCACTGAATCATTATAATTATTTTTTTTATGGTGACACTGATGATCATGTGACACTGAACACTGGAGTAAAGCCTGCTGACAATTCAGCTTTGCCACCACAGGAATTAATAATATTTTAAAATATATTAAAATAGAAAAGAGTTATTTAAATTGTAATAATATTTAACAATATTTCTGTTTTTAATATATTTTTGATCAAATAAATGCAGCCATGGAAATCATGAGACTTCAAAATCATAAAAAAAAATATTACCCCATACTTTTAAATGGTAGTGTATACAGTTCATAAACATACGTACATACAGTACATACACACATACCACTATACTGTATATCACTACCAGAAACATGCCTTGGCTGTCACAAAATCAGTTCCTGGTTGTAAAAGGCCTATAGTTGTAAAAGTCACTATAACTGTCATATTTTAATTAACTATATTATGTCAAAAGGCTTAATGATCACATAGTATTTACTGTAGCTTTTATACAGTATATGAAAGCAAAGACAAGAACATTAGTTTAGTAACAGAGGACCATGCAGTTCAGTCTAGAGGCATAGATCCACATAAACCTCTCCCAATACATGTAAAACAACAGATTTTACAGTCTACTTTAAGACCTGGGCACCTGGCAGTATTAAAAACAACAAGTTTATAGATTGGATACTCGATGGAGCTGTTTTATGCTAGAAGAAACCCCCAGCCTCAGTCTAAGGCTTCAGGGGGAGATTATGTGCTTCCCCGGCCTTATTAACTGCCGTACACTGAGGCTCTAGTGTAAGAAACGGCCTCAGATGATCTCCTTCTCTGTCATTGGTTAGTGTCACTGCCTCTGATTTAGTGGATGGAGTTGTGGAAACAACAATTGCTGCTTTGTGTAACTTTATTTGTCCTTTGTGAAAGAGAAAAGTGGACATTTGCTTTGGGTTGGAAGGGTCACCCACTGAGCTCCAGCACAATGCTGTAGTGGAGCAAAAACAGTGGTTGTAAAGCTTGATGTGGAATACATTTTTATAAACTTTATAAAAAGCCACTACGAATAGTTGTTATTAAGTGTATCATAAGGATATGGGGTAAACTTTTCGTTAACTGCTGGTTTGAGAGGTATTTTTCTGGCTTTATTTTTTTCTTTATTTGTATTTTTTTATTTGGGAGAGATATTTTGCCTAATTGCTCTCAATTACTTCATTGTTGACTTGATTGTTTCCACTGGGAATTAATTGCTGACTGTAAAAATTGGATGTTAAGTACCAAAATGGAGCCAAGCGGTTCAAATATAAGAGGGTTGGTGACATCAGCAAAAATCAAAACTTTTTAGAAGTAAAGTAGGTCAAAAATCTTTTATTTGGAATTATGAATTATGTATACAAATGCAACATGCAAAAGAAGACAAGGAACATGTTTTAGGAATAGTGGCAGTTTTGATTTTATGTCACATTTTGTTTTTACAGGTTTGCCAAAAATGCTAGTCATCAGAGACTATTTTGGGGTTCCCAGTCCTCTGGGCGGACCGCCGCTGAATGCTCATATTGGTGATGTCATAGAGGTCATCTGTGCCGATCCTCACAGCTCCTGGTGGCAGGTCAGATGAAGTACAGCACTATTTAAACACCAAATAGCGGAATTGTGTTCTGTGGTGTCATGGGACCCTGAAGCTTGATCACAACATATATCAAAGCAAATAGGGCACACATAACCTTTTCCACAGCTATGTCTTGTGACATTTCAACAAAAAGATAAATGCAATAACCTGTATTTCCATAGCCAACGGAAGTTAATTATAAAATTTGATTTAAAGTAATTTAACGTCTCATCTGAAGTACGGTGCTTGTTGACCGTATAGTGTCCCCATCACTATACTGGGCGTTAGGACCCACACAGACTGCAGGGTGAGCACCCCCTGTTGGCCTCCCTAGCACCTCTGCCAGCAGCAACCTAGTTTTCCCAGGAGGTCTCCCATCCAGGTACTGACCAGGCTCAACCCTGCTTAGCTTCAGTGGGTAACCAGTCTCGGGCTACAGGGTGATATGGCTGCCGGACAATTACTGTATTTATTACTGAAAATACAAACAGACCTGTACTCAATTTACCATACTCCGTACTCAACAATCTGTAATTACAACTTTAGTACAATATACAAAAGTGTAAACTAAATAATGACTGAAAACTTTTTTTTTTCACATTGCTTTCTAATATGAACTGATACCTAAATGAGCCGTCAGATATAGTGACTACAGAGTACAGTCAGGCATGTTTCAGCATTGCAGTTTTGTCTCAAGTTTATTGTCACAGACTGTTCTTGTGTTATTAATTTCTGGCTTGTGCCGGGCTGTTGTGGCTCTTTTTCTCTATGGTTTATGGTGACACTAAAACCCCATCTTCCTCCTGGTGTTACCGAACAGCTCGGCGGGGAATAGACACTTAGTGAGATTTCCCATGCTTTATGCTGGGCCATTTCTGCCTGATAGCACACACCGAGGTAAAAAAAAACCCTACAGCTCAAAAATGGATGCCAAGAGATTCACCGAGCCAACAGACTGCGACGGGCAGGGGCTAGACGTGCGTGTCAGCCGTGGTTCTCCACACACTAGGCAGGTCATAGAGGGGAGCGAGAAGCGCTACTGTTGAATGATAATGCACATCACTGGTTTATTTTATCTTGTGTGAAATGACACTTAACTCTTAATAAGGCTACTAAATCTTCAGGGTCCCATGACACCAAAGAATGGAATTACAGAGCACTAAGCATCCATCTCCCATGTTACTGGAAGACAATTATCTCTGTCCCGTTGTCAGAACAGTGCAATCGATCACTGTAATTTAATTTGATCCTTTAGGCTGCCAACGGTTTACTCTAATGGGGTAATAAGTTTAATCTTTATCATACGCTTATCTGTGGCGTAACAAATATAAAGGGCTTTCAAAAGCTATGGCTAAACATTATTAAGCTGAATAAATCATGAATACAGTTCCAGTTTGGGGCTCCGATCTAATTTGTGGTAGAGGTGCATTTTTCTGAAATTCATTTCATACTTGTTAAAGATTATCTTAAAGGGAGCCATTAAAGAAAAATACATATTTTGCAGTATAGTTGTTTGAGAAGAGGCTCATTACACCCTCAGTCAAACCTTCAGCCAAACTCACAATCAATCTTAGGCTGCTAAATTTTGGCATCTGGTTCCACCGCGTTCGCAGTGCATTATAACCTCCCAGCTGTTGTTTCACACTGAGTCGTGGGGAATTGTCGGTTTTTATCCAAAAATATACAGATAATTGTGTCTGAAGCCATGCAAGAAATGAGCCTATTTTAAAACTGGCATCCGGCCTGCGATTGCTCAATACAATCTATTGCACGAGGACATAATACAAAACTCGAGTCTGATGTAATTAATAAATCCAAATATGCTCAGAGCAGCAATATCAAACAATGGCTTATTGGCGAGTGTCATGATTCACGAGGTTCTGCTGTGGAAGCTGTATGATTATTCAGCATTAGATGATGCTTTCATTCTGATGCGTAACGGAATTTAACCGTGGGTTGGAGCTGAACAGTAATTAACTGTGGCTCTAAATGAGATTCACTGCTTGTTGTGAGCTAATTGTCTTAGATTTATTAATGCAAAGGGGAGGGGAGAGCATTGCTTCAAGGCAAATATAATGTAATTAACAACCACACGTCTTGGCAGGGCAAAATCCTGACAACACAAGAGGCCGGCTTCTTTCCAAGTGATGCAGTCAAGCCCTGCCCATGTGTAAGTATGTATATTTGTATGACTTGCGTAATCATTTTAATGCTGTTGATTTGTATTTGTGTTTACTATATACAGTACATCGGTCTCCAGAAGTTTTGAATAATTATGATTATTAAATATTTTTGAAAGAAGCCTCTTTGCTCACCAAGGCTGCATTTATTTGATCAAACAGTAAAAACGGTAATATTGTTGTATTAGTACAATTTAAAATAATGGTTTCTATTTTAATATATTTGAAAGTGTAATTTATTCCTGTGATGGCAAAGCTGAATTTTCAGTAGCCATTACTCCAGTCTTTAGTGTCACATGATTCTTCAGAAATCATTCTAATATGCTAATTTGGTGCTTAGTTATTAATAATAGTTCATATTATTATCAATGTTGAAAACAGTTTTTACTGCTTAGTATTTTTGTGCAAGCTGTGATTTTTTTCAGGATTCTTTCATGAAAAGCAAGTTTATTGAGGAGCATTTATTTGAAATAGAATTGTTTTGCAATATTATAAATGTTTTTACTAATATCTGTAAACAAAACTAATTTAGTTTCAGCACAAACCTTTATAGCAAAATGTTTATAGATAATGAAAAACATAAATGGATGTAAATGCCAAGTTCTGTCATGAAACTCTAGATGGCACAGGTTGATGGGTCCTCAGTGCAAACTGATGATATTCACAGCGTGATGATATTCATGTTGCATATGCAGCTGATGAACTTGCTGCTTTACATTTAAATGGCTGATTAGCATTCGCTTGAGCATTGCAGCGCGCTTTCAGAGTTCCTCTGAAACCCTCCACCTCCCCCACCTCCACCTGTATAGAACTGCTACGGGTTATTTTATATGCTATTTGTGCAGCAGCAGTATGTCTTAAATACTTACAGCGCCGTATTGGCGTATGTATTTTGGCAGTAGCAAGTTCCTGTACTTGCTTTGCAGCAGCAGCAGCAATAATCTACAACAACAGCAATAACCAACAGCAGCAGCAATTCAGCAGTGTAGAATATCTATTCTGCCAAGACCAAATACATTAACATTGTTATATCCATTACCATGCTTAAATCTTCAGAGAGTTGTCATGATAGAATTTGTAGTGTATATACTATATACTAATAATGAATGACATTGTTTATAATGTTTCTCATCCACAGGGACCAAGGACAGTTGACTATTCAGCTCAACCCTGGTAAGTCTCAACACTAAATGTTTAGTCACATTTATTCCAATATCTACATGACACACAAAATAACCTACATGACTGCATGTGCTGAGTGTTGTTGTTTTGGTTTTAACCACGTGCATGTTGGCTCATGCGAGCAGGTTCGCTGGACCCATGGAGAGGCACCACGCAGAGTCTGAGCTCATGGAGAGAGAGAACAGCACCTACCTGGTGCGATACAGGAGCCGGGAGAGCAGAGAGTACGCTATCAGCATCAAGTACGTCGAGCTATTATACAACTTCATATATTTGTGCCAGCGTGTTTTTATTGCACATAAAATTGGCGTGACGGATGGTCCGTGAGGTCCTTGCACGAATGTCCTTTTGCATGCAAGGCTTAGATTTCTTCATGCATTTCCCTCTGTGTGCAACCCGATGCATTATGCATCATGGAATTTGCATACAGCTTAATGTGTAGCATGGATGTGGTCAGTGAGTGACCACACTGCATACTCACTATGGGCTTTATTACCTCAGAACATTTAATAGTTGCATGTCTCATGCTTAAAACCAATCACAAGGTCTTTGTCAAAATATTTTATCCTCTAAATGTGTTGACTTGGAGTTAGGGACTGACAGCACTATTCCACATCCTTATAGTTATAGTTAGCGCTCCACAACAAGCTCACGTTTAATGTTTAAAGGGGATTGGGGATTTTATGTATCTGGTTCAAGGTTATAGAATAACCTACCACTGAACATTGGATCTCCTTCTCATGACATCTTTAGATCCAGTATTTATAGGAATAGTTCACCCAAAAATGGAAATTCTGTCATCATTCACTCACTTCACTTATTAACACTCATTTATTGCTCATCTTAGGCATTAACTTTTGTTTGTCAGCACATTCCCAAGAAAACGTCATTAAGATGGCTGACATTGTTGAAATATTGACAATCTTGGTATGGTTACAGTAATTCTCTGCCATCTGCAGGTACAACAATGATGTAAAGCACATTAAGATCCTCACCAAGGAGGGCTGTTTCTACATTGCTGAAAGCAGGACGTTCAAGACTGTATTAGTAAGTGGGTTTGAGAGCATTGGTCTTCATCATCATTTGCTTTATTTATCAGCACCGTATGAATACATATGTAGGGTGCTATAATTTAGTGTCACTGGCTGTGCTGCAGAGACCTGAGCTTTTTTTATCGAAAAACCAGAACATGTGCTGATCTGCATATTTCTGTATTTCATTAGCATAATTAATAATGTGAGTCCAGCTATTAATCAGAGTCATCAATACTACTGCAACCTTTTTAAAACAATTTCTAGATGGTTATAACATGCTAAAGTTCCCTAATAAAATATACTGTGGTGACAGCATGTAATAAGGAAAGCTTTAATATATACAATAGTACTGAATAATTATTAATTCATATATCATGGTACTCCAGGGTGTATCAAAGAATACATGGTATTACCATGGTGCACATCCATAAAACAATGTATGTATGTTTTTGTAAGTGTGAGCGTCTATAAGCAATTGCAGTTGTTTCACTAAGATAAAATAAGGCAGGGTTTCCCCACTGCAGTTGTTGGAAAGGTAATACTGAAATAAATCAAGCGTAATGTTAGTTCTGGCAGGTCACATTAGTCAAGTTCACATCAGCTGATTCACGTCTACCTATAAGTGACTGAGTTATTAGTTGTATTGGGAACATGCTTGTTCTTAAGCCTATCTGGTTTCTGTTGGAAATATGCTTGTCTTAAAGCTAGCGGGTTGTTATTTAGAACATGTTGCTTAAGCTTTTGAGGTATTGTCAACATGCTCATTAGGTCATGCTTGATGCTATGGCTTATGCGGGTTTTGGCAACATACTCATTGGATTATTGGGTAAGGGCAACATTCTTGTTGCTTAAGGCATTGAGATTTTCAACACAGTTTGTGTTGAGGGATATCAGCATATGGTTTTGTTTCGGGGGTTATCGCTGCTCTCCCTGCTCTTATCCATGCTAGGCTGTATGGATGTGCAGGGAGTTCTTGCCCAGAACAGAACCATACCACCAATCCAAACTGTATGCTAATTGTCAGTCATCTTTGCTGATAGTGGTTCTGACAGAACTCATAAAAATGTAAAATTAAATGATCTTTTGAACAAAGTTCGGGAGGAGTACATTCAGATAATCAACTAATTCAGCACAGGTGGAGCACGTTCAGATAATCAACTTAATTAGCATGATAGTAAATATATACAGCCAACTTACCTCTGTCCCACGACAGTTTTTCTGGCACCCCTCCTCATTCCTAACTATTCTTCTACCAGCTTGGGGATACGGGGAGTTCTCTGGGTTCGGGCTATATTCCGAGCTCGGAGCCCTCCCCTCGGACAGCACGCCAAAAATGCATACTATTAATCTGATAATATGTAAGTGCGAATTTATGGAAATAAATAAAAATAATCAAAAGCACTTACTAAACAGATGATATATTTTGTTTGTTTGCCTTCATGCGATTTAACCATTAAGCAACAAAAAAGAGAACCGTGAACATGGGAATGTGTTGTTAAATTATTGAAATATTAACTTAAAATTACAGGAGGGACTTTAAGTGAATATTTTAGGTCAAAGAAGATCAGCTGGCAAAACATTTTGGGAATCCCTGAAATAAGCTTTTAAACTTGTGATTTTTTTCTGTCCAGGGACTGGTTGAGTATTACAAACAGCACTCTCTGAAAGAGGGTTTCCGTACTCTGGACACTACTCTGCAGGTGCCCTATAAGGAGCTTGATAGTGGATTCAGACCTGCTGGTGAGTATCATACACCTTGTTTAAATTCGCTCTGACTATATGATGACTTTAGTTAGGCCTTGTTAAGACTTTTAGCAAAAATCTGATTTTTTTTGCATAATAGATATTATCCAATTGGGTTTTTGAAGGTCTGAACAGTAAAAAACACATGAAATCGGATTTTTTGTTTTTCACATTTTATTTAAACCACATATGGAGGTGGTTTGAAGTGCAATTCCAATCAGATTTTTACAGAGGCATCTCAGTCTAGATGCTCTGGCTGCTCAAATCAGATTTCAAATGTCTTTTGCATCACTCTTAATGTAACACACTGCGGGTGTCGGCAGAAGGAGTTCGTCCGTTTTGTTGGGTAGAGAGCGGAGGTTCGCCAGATGGATGCTATGCAATGGTGTTCGAAATCCGCGCTGCCTGAGCTTCACGATGGCGCCTATGCTTTGGAATGTAATTGTGACGAGTGGGGCGGGGCCATGGGAACGGAGCGAGGCCGGTGGAGTAAGTGATAATGCACGACACCTGCGCCACTCACCGGTCTCGAGTCCCACGGAGGAGCTCCGGAAGGATAAAAGGAGGAGTGACGACAGTGCAAGACGAGAGAGGACCAGGCCTGGATTTTATTTTGTGTTTTGGTTCTGTATGTGCACGACAGTCGTCCGCGAGGGGCTGTCGCGCTATTTTGTGTTTATTTTATTATTAAAGTTTTGTTTGAATGTTCGCCGGTTCATGCCTCCTTCTTCCCGAACTACGAACTGTGTTACAGAAATAAAAGTAAAGGTTTGCAAAAATAAAAACATTCAGATAAAGTACAGATGCAAACAAGTACAAATACTTAACTATTGCCACTGATGAATGATATGATGCATTACTGTATGCACTGCTGTAATTTATATCCCCCCAAAAAAACGTTCCCCTGCAGAATTTGTTGCTAAAACAGAAAGACATGTTAATTTGCACTTACAATACGGTTTGAAGAGTTATGGCCAGTTGCGCAGTAACACTAGGGCATCCAGCAGCAGGAATGCCTACTAGCGGCCAGCAGTACAATGACCTTGTCGACCTTCAGCGATTAAAATCACCGTCAGTGTGAGCGGTTCTTCAGACAGGTCCTCTTTTAATGCCAGGAGGCATATCTTGCTCTCAAGATGTGTTTTAGCTGGTGACTTGCTTATGCGTCCTGACACCTCTCAGACTCTTTTGATTAAATATAAAGGTTGGATGAAACGTAGAGTGTGCCTGTACACGTGTTGCTTTTCACAGTGTATAAAGTATGTGTTTACTTCAGCTCTCATTGCCCAAGATGGCTCCTCAAAGAGACAGACAGATGCTGCAAAGCGGGTCGTACGCACTCGGCACAAATGGCTGTTTGTGTCTGGCTCTGCAGCTGCTGCTGCAGGCGACGCAGTGAGGGAGAGGACTCGGCTAAACTAGACACCAGCACTGCGCTCAAGTAGCACCGGCAATCTCTCTGACATGACATGACAGTTTGCTTTGAGTTACAGGAAAAAGCCATGATGGATGCTAAGCTCCCCCTCACCTGTAGGGACTTGGCTGCTTTTCTCTCGCGCAGCTAAGAGAAAAACAGTCCCTGCACTGAGAAATGAAAGGGCAACTAGTGGAGACACAAAGTCAGCTTTATTGAACAGAGAGAGACGTATCACGTAGAAAAAGGCTTAGCGAATGAGTACGACTCTGTTGATAGAAAGACCGGGATAGTGGGGATTGTGAATTGGGGATTTTGCTGTTCTCTTTGGCCTTTTTTCTTTAGCATTCTCGGCTTGTTAGAGGTTTTTATGTTCGACTGCCACTCTCAGTGATACATCCTTTCACAAACCTCAGCAGAAAATCCGGGCCCTCGATGCATCCTGGGACAGCGCTCTCGCTGATGTGCCCCAAACCAAAACACACACACAAATACGCCGACAGATCATTCGGCGTGTGGGCGCTGACACATCTGCAGGCGTCGAGTGTTTGGTAAACACGTTGAACACAAAGGGAGATATCAGGGTTGTGTTTGATAAGCTAATGTGAGGAATGTTATTTACTAGACAGATATCGCATCGGTTTCAATTCTGACTATAGATATCGCAAGTGTGATTGGCTGCATGATTTCTGCAGGCGATTTCTGAGTGACAGTGTCACAGGAAAAAGTAGGTGGCTCGTCGCCTACTGCTTCGTTATCCCCAAAGGAGATGCAAAGCAGGCAGGCAAACATATTGTGGATTTGACATTTGCTAGTTTACATATTAGAAAGTCCTGGATGCTCAGATGGGCGTTCAGATGGTAACAGGACTCGCGCTCTGTATGAACGCTTTCACAGCTGCGTCAGTGACAGGGCCAGGAGCACACACTCGCATGTTCTTGCCAAAAGCTATGAGAACACCTAGAGAAAATGGTGAACAAAAAAAAAATCTTGACACTTACAGGAATGGGTTGCCTATGTCATTTCCAACCTGTATGAAGTTTTTTTTTTTTTTTCTTTAAACCTTATCCCAGCTGCGTCTGCCCAAATAATGTAGTATGTGGTCCATTAAAGTAGTCCAAATGGCTGAAGTAGTCCAAATTTTATTCAATCTTTTATTCACCTTCATGTCATTCTGAACCTGCATGACTTTCTTCTGTGGAACATGAAAGAAGATATTTTGAAGAATGTGTTTTTGTCCATATCAAGTCAATGGCGTCCAAAATAGGGCTGTGCAATAAATGGATATCCATATTTATCTGAAAAAATAAATCCATGGTACCGATAATAAATTTTAACCTCACATTGATAATTTATTATTATTATTATTTTAAGAAATATCATACAACCAATTTATTTTTTGTGCATATTTTAATTTATTCAGTATACAAGTTGTTTACTGAAAGTTGAGAAAAAGTTGTTTACATTTAAGTTTACATTTAACTTTAAAAATGTTTTGTTGTTAATTGTATTTTAATTTGATTAAATTTTGTAAGATGCATTAACTTGATCAAAAATTACAGTAAATGCATTTATAACAATGCAAAAGATTCTTACTTCAAATAAATGCTGTTCTTTTAAACTTTTATTCTTCAAAAAAATCATGAAAAAAATCATAACATTTTCCACAAAAATACTGAGCTGCAAAGCTGTTTTCAACATTGATAATAAGAAATGTTTCTTGAGGACCAAATTAGCATATTGATTACATTTTGAAAGATGGATTAAATTGTTAATGTTTTATGAATTCATTTTAGTTTAGTTTACTTGTAAAGTTATGTTTACATTCATTCTTGAGGTCTAAGAAACATGTGGAATGCATTTCCTTCCCCATTAATGGTATGAAATGAATATTGTATATTATATATTGAATAATATATTTTTGGCAATTTTGCGCAGTCCTAGTTGAAAACAACAATGGACCTTATTGACTTTATTTTATGTTCATTGAGACATTTTTCAATCATGAATCTCAAGATATATTTCAAGGAGAGTGTTGATGCACCCAGTGCTGTGTGAAGTTCTTTACATCAGATTGTTTATGTTTGTTTTGTTGAAAATGTCTCTGTTAAGATCTCTGGGTTTTTGTGTTCCTATTTTCTTTGCTCTGCCTCGGCTTGGATCCTAAGCTCCAGTGCTGTGTGGGCTTCATGTTTTGAGTCCCACCAGCTACAGTTTTGTTCCTCCCTCCCCCTTACCCTTCTGGTCAGGTACAGCTATCAGCCACCTGTCTCATTCATTTCCCCCTCCAGCCATCTCAGTCTCTTCTCCCTGTGTTTGCTTTAGCTCTCTCTGTAGTGTATGTGTGCTTTCTGAGAGTTGTGGAGAGAGTGGATCGACAATGTCTGTGCATGATGCAATGCCATTTGTGCCGTTTTCACTCCAAATCTCCAATAATCTTGTTGCACATTCACATTGTCCTACTTGGCATGTCTTGTGACAACACTGGTGTCTCTCATTCTTGTCTTTTTTCTAACAACTTGTTTTTGTTCCACTTCTTCCACAGTTTTGACCCCGAGAGTGCTTGGCATTGCATTGGCACGATATGATTTCGGCTCCAGAGATACACGGGAACTCTCTCTGCAGGTGGGCGACCTGGTGAAGATCTATATCAAGAGTACCAATGGATGGTGGAAAGGTGAAGTCAATGGCCGGGTGAGGAAAAACTATTTTATACACCTTTATTTGTGCGAAGCTCTCTAGAGCAGGGGTCTTCAATGTTTTTCAGGGCAAGGACCCCTTAGGTGATAGAGACATGGAGCAAAATGTGTCAAGCAGAGCTACATATTAAGCATATAGCCTTCAATATTAATAGAAACTAACCATATTATGATTAAGAATAAATATGTTACATGTATATTATGTTAGGACAGTAGATCAGAACAATGCACATTATTGTTGTTGCACATGCCTGTATATGACTTGTTAAAATGCATCATAAAAAAAACATGTTGAGATAAAAATCACTTATTTTAATGGATTTGCAGAGCATACGTTTTAATTTGACTAATCAGATAGACATTTACAGTTACCTGAACTTCAGCTACAAGTTTATTAAAAATTCACATTTTAATTTTACTGTCAGATGGACAAATAAACATTTTGTTAAACTTAAGCTTCAAGTTTACTAAAAATTAGCATTTTAATTTTACTGTTAGATGGACAATTAAGAATCAAATATCTGAAATTAGTGAGTTTTTTTTTAAATAAAGTGCAGATGTAATGTGTAAACAAGGACCCCACCATGACAAAAATAGCAATGTACAGTGAGTATAATATATTGATATGAATATTTTTCTAGTAGTCTATTACTCTGCATTTACATTGCGCATATCTATTTTACATGCCATATTTTTGTCCCGTGCTAGTATCACAATGTCAATTTTGCAGTGTGTAATTGGCTGTCGGTTCTCTTAGCAGCATGAAAAACAATACTTTTATTCAACGGATTATAGCTCTATAGCAGGGGTGGCGAACGTCGGTCCTGGAGAGCCGCAGCCCTGCAGAGTTTTGCTTCAACCCTAATCAAACACACCTGAACAAGCTAATCAAGGTCTGAACAGTTACTAGGAAGCTACAGGCAGGTGAGTTTTAATTAGGGTTGGAGCTGACCTCTGCAGGGCTGCGGCTCTCCAGGACCGGAGTTCGCCACCGCTGCTCTATAGCCTCGAAAGTGAGAAAGACTGCTTACTTTACAATCGCTAAAAAGCTGTCACTCATCTCAGTTCAAGCTGTCTACACTACATAATGAATCTCTTACTTCCATCGTGTCGTTGTTTGTTAATGAGAGAGGAAAGTGAGCATAATTCAACACTGAATAAAAACTCCGGCGTTGTGAGCGGTGAGTGGATTCTTACTTAAACACCTCTGATTGGCCATTGCATTCAAGAGATCAACAAACATGTCTGTGATTAGCTACATTTCTCTCTGCTGCAAAAACACGCTGTAAACAGGAACCTTTCACATTCTTCAGAGCTCAAACTCAAAAATGCAATGGAACGTTTGCTAAATCTGTTTCACCAATAATATTATATCATTGCAGTATCAACTGAATGAGCTCTTGCTTTCGTTTCAGGGTGCTTATATTTAAAATAGACTTTGTGATGTTTTTTTTTTACCCATGTTTAAATTTTTTTAAGGAAAAATGACTTGTGATTAAACATTAATTAATGGATGTTTACTGCAGTACCGGTTGAAGACCCTTGCTCTAGAGATTTTGGTGCTTTCATATTTGTTTAGGTAGTGTGAAGCTTTTCTTCCAACCTCGCACATCATGGAACTGAACACTTGCCCTTCCATGGGAATCACAGTTCATGGTTGCTCAGAAAGGAAATGCTAGGCACACAGCAGCAAGAAACGGTTGTCAGAGTGCTAAATCCAGCTGACAACAGAATTATATAACAAGCATGGTCTGGAAGAATCTTAATATTGACCAGAGATCAGTTATCAGACAGAATTTTAATATCTTGCATTAATAAATACTGTAAGAATGTTGTTCATGATACATAAAGTATGGTGAACCTTGCTGTAAAGTGTTACCATCAGCTCTGTATTCTGTTATAGTTACATGTTAAATTATTAGTCAGATTAGTTAAAACATTTATTTTTGATATATTGTCTGTTATTTAATTTAATATGTTTATTATATTTACACTACTGTTTAAAAGTCAGTAAGATTTTTTTTAGAGAAACTAATAATTTTATTAAGCAAGGATGCATTAAATAAATCAAAAGTGACAGTAAAGGCATTTATAATGTTACGAAAGTTTTCTAATAAATGCTGTTCTTTTGAACTTTCTTTAAAAATGTATCATGGTTTTCACAAAAATATAAGGCAACACAACTGTTTTCATCATTGATAATAATAAGAAATGTTTCTTGAGCACCAGCTCAGCATATTATAATGATTTCTGAAAGATCATGTAACACTGAAGACTTAAATAGAAAATTCAGCTTTACCATCACAGGAATAAATAAAAATGTTAAATATATTAAAATAGAAAACAGTTATTACTATTTTACTGTATTTTGATCAAATAAATACAGCCTAGATGAGAAAGACTTCTTTTAAAACATTTAAAAAATCTTACCAAGCCCAACTTTCATGTATAAAACGTATAACAGTAACGTACATATTTTTATTTTATAATAATATAATAAAAATAATATAAATTATATTTTAACTAATTTTAAGATTAATGAATATGATCATGAATCCCCGAACACATTGTGTTTTAGGCCCTATTGATTTACATATACTATATTTTTTCTGGCGATAAACAGCTATCAGCGGTACTCATATTCATAGTAAGAAACTTTTTTTAAACAAACACCAGTTCCAAAAGCAATTGAATTTTGGTTAGGACACAAGCAAATGACATAGCAATATAGAGGTGTGACACTGTGATTGACATTTGAGATTAGACTTTAACCCCGCATTTCTATGCAGTATAGCTCATCTCGACTCTCCAAGACACCTGGATCTTTCCTCAAGCCTTATTATATTCCCTTTTCTTCATTTCATATGCTCAAGTGCATTTAAGAGAGACATGATTACCTGGAGGTGATGACAGAAGATGGCAGAATGACTCTTAATGATTCTTCTGCTCATGCCATTATCAGATCTGACCCACAAGAGCTCTCAAACTAGTCACGGAGATGAAGAGATGCGCTTCAGTAATGTTTCCTGATGCTGTTTATATTACAGGTGGGATGGTTCCCTTCAACTTATGTGGAGGAAGAGGAATGACCAGTGCAGGAAGTTATCCTCTCTATGCTGTCACAGTGATAGGCCACTGCAGCTTGTTGGCTTTGGACTAGAAACGGAATGGTGAACATTGCACCCTCATTTGAGCGAAGCACCACAAACACAGCAATTATCAGCCTCCTCTAATGGGATCCGGTGGACTGTGGTTGAGACCTGCAGCGTGATGCATCTGAGGCCCCGTCGGCTTTGACTGTTTAATTAGTTATGAATGTCCCTATTTAACTTTTTATTAATCCAGTTATTATTAATAAAAATAAAAGTTCTATATAGGTCTACTTTTTTTTAATTGTAATTAGGGCCCTAGCCACTTGGGGAGCATGGCCCTATTGTTTTTCTAAGGATTATTAGGGCCTGAGCACCAATGGTGCAAGGACCCTCTTGGAATTGCTCTGTTTCATATTCTTCTTCTTCTTCTCCAAAGTAAATTCCCCGTCGGCTTTGACTGTTTAATTAGTTATGAATGTCCCTCGCTGCTCCACATTCAGTCCAGACATCTCTTTCTCTTACTCTTTTCCTCCCTCTCACCCTGTCACCTCCTGACATCTTCACACAGGGCCTGGGGCCCCCCTCTTTCTGCCTGTTTAAAATGTAAACTCCATTTCTGAGCTGTGCCGGACCTCCCATAAACTCAGGAGTGGCACGCAGAGAGAAAAGCCCTGAGCTGGCCGTTTTTTCCCTCCCTCGGCGACCTTTACGCGGTGCTTTCAGCTCACCTTGTGTTATAATTGATGATTTAATTCGCCCGTCTGACTCTGCAAAGTTTGGCTGGGGCGAGACAGAGCAACGTGCTGTCACAAAGCCTTCCTCTCTGCCTCCTCGGTCTGAATACTTTCCGTACCCACTGTATATATATATATATATATATATATTTAACTTTTTATTAATCCAGTTATTATTAATAAAAATAAAAGTTCTATATAGGTCTACTTTTTTTTAATTGTAATTAGGGCCCTAGCCACTTGGGGAGCATGGCCCTATTGTTTTTCTAAGGATTATTAGGGCCTGAGCACCAATGGTGCAAGGACCCTCTTGGAATTGCTCTGTTTCATATTCTTCTTCTTCTTCTCCAAAGTAAATTGCATTTTTGAGGGCCTAAACATGCTCGAAAACTCACAAAACTTTGCATATGAGTCAGAACTGGCAAAAATTCACATCACAACTTTTTAATTTACAGTCATTAGATACGACCAATAGGAAGTCAGCTACTTTGGTTTGAATGTGGATTTTTGCCTACTCCCAGGACAATAATGCAATTCACACCTAACTCAACATGATGCCAAAACACTGAGGAACCTAAATTGTGAACGTATTTTGGAAATCTTTTGGAAAACAGTGTTGCCATGGCGATTTATTAAAGTAACAGTAAAAAAGGAAACAGTAATTTTCTTATATTTTATAAAGTGTATTATCCAAACACTTTTTACATATGGAGAACAAACCATTCTGAGGAAACAATTAGGTCTCATTTGTTAACATTAGTTATTGCATTAACTAACAAGAAACGAACAAAAAACTATATATTTTTTACAGCATTTATTAATCTTTTTTTAATGTTAGTTAATAAAAATGTTCATGCTCATGTTAATTCACAGTGCATGAACTAATGTTCACAGATACAACTTTACATTTTAATAATGCATTAGTAAGGTTTGAACCTGATATTAACTAACATTAATAAATGCTATATAATTATTGTTCATGTTAACTAATATAATGTTAATAAATGAAACCTTATTGTGAAGTGTTACCAAATTTTTATATATCATTCTCTCTAAGAGATGCGCTTCAGTAATGTTTCCTGATGCTGTTTATATTACAGGTGGGATGGTTCCCTTCAACTTATGTGGAGGAAGAGGAATGACCAGTGCAGGAAGTTATCCTCTCTATGCTGTCACAGTGATAGGCCACTGCAGCTTGTTGGCTTTGGACTAGAAACGGAATGGTGAACATTGCACCCTCATTTGAGCGAAGCACCACAAACACAGCAATTATCAGCCTCCTCTAATGGGATCCGGTGGACTGTGGTTGAGACCTGCAGCGTGATGCATCTGAGGCCCCGTCGGCTTTGACTGTTTAATTAGTTATGAATGTCCCTCGCTGCTCCACATTCAGTCCAGACATCTCTTTCTCTTACTCTTTTCCTCCCTCTCACCCTGTCACCTCCTGACATCTTCACACAGGGCCTGGGGCCCCCCTCTTTCTGCCTGTTTAAAATGTAAACTCCATTTCTGAGCTGTGCCGGACCTCCCATAAACTCAGGAGTGGCACGCAGAGAGAAAAGCCCTGAGCTGGCCGTTTTTTCCCTCCACTCGGCGACCTTTACGCGGTGCTTTCAGCTCACCTTGTGTTATAATTGATGATTTAATTCGCCCGTCTGACTCTGCAAAGTTTGGCTGGGGCGAGACAGAGCAACGTGCTGTCACAAAGCCTTCCTCTCTGCCTCCTCCTCTTCAGCCCTGATAACACTTAGCAGCGCTGCTCTCTCAGGGCGCTCGGAGCGCTGCACGGTGACAGGAGGCCTGCCGTTCAGTGCGATATCCATCTTAGCCAGCCTAATGCACTGCGCTGTGATCAGTCTTTGCCCTGTCTGTTTCTGAACCTCAGGTGCTCCCAAGCAGAATGTTGGCACTGATTTTTGGACTAAAGTCAATTTCTTCTCTTGCCATGTAATGGAACGACTTGTTAATGCTGTGATGTTTGGTGCACTAAGGGTCCTAGACACTGCAAAAAATATTCAGCGAGGTTTATGCCTGTTACAAAAAAATCTGCCAATGGAAAAAACCAAAATACACTACCGTTCAAAAATTTGGGATCAGTAATATTTTATTTTTAAAGAAATTAATATTTTTATTCATCGGGGACACATTAATTTGATTGAAAGTAAAGACATTTACTGTATAATGTTACAAAAGATTTGTTCAAATAAATATAAAAAAATGCATTTTCTACAAAAGTATGAAGAAAATGTTCATGCTCATGTTAATTCACAGTGCATGAACTAATGTTCACAGATACAACTTTACATTTTAATAATGCATTAGTAAGGTTTGAACCTGATATTAACTAACATTAATAAATGCTATATAATTATTGTTCATGTTAACTAATATAATGTTAATAAATGAAACCTTATTGTGAAGTGTTACCAAATTTTTATATATCATTCTCTCTCTGTGTGTGTGTGTGTGTGTGTTTGTCTGTTTTATACTCTTGATGTTATAGTGAAACCCTTTCATTGCTGTAACCCTTAAAACCAGACTGCCTGCTGTGCAATGTTTTCCTGATGCCACTGGGTTGGCAGTTGTGCTGGTGGCTTGGGCCGGCCTCACTGCTTGCAGCAATATTCTTTAATTAAATTAATACACAATATAAAATAAATAAATGTACAAAAAATAAAAATTAATTAATTAATTAATAATAAAAATAAATACAAAATAAGCATTTTTTGTTTGTGTTTTAATAGTTACAAAAGGCATTACAACATAACCCAGAAAAACTTGTCAGTTCCCCTAAATATCCACAAATGTTGTAACTGAGCTTTTATTTTGATGTCATATGTCTCCTATGTTTCATTGTGTTTCCAAACAAACTGGCGAATATTTTTTATTATTCTGTGATTTTTATTTATTTATTTTTTCAAGATTTCCAGTGTATGTGTCACAAATTCCCAGTAACGCTCTAAATCATCTTAGGACAGTAGGAGCTGAGTAGGAACAGTAGTTGAGATTTAACCTGAGGCATGTTCAGAAAGAGCCATGAGGGCCACATTGCAGCGCAGTAGTGATTGATGGCCAGCCTTGTTTGCCAGAGGATGGAAGCAGGTCTATCTCTCTCCACTTCAGAAAGGTGTGAACTGACAGCAGGAGACTTCAGAGAAAAAGGAAAAGACACAGAGAGAGAGAGAGAGAGAAAGAGAGAGAGAGCATCCTTCAGTCCTATGACCTGAAAGTGTCACCTCTTTGTGTTGAAGACGAGACCGGAACGGGTGAAGAGTTACGTGTTATATGGGTGTGACTTACCTCATCACACTGTCTTTACCAATTCAGCAACTGTAGATGGGAAGAGTGGGAGGGAAACTCGATAAAGCCCTGGACTGTATGTCTGATAGGGCTGTGATTGAGCGGCTCAAGGACTTCATCAGCACTATTGAGTAATTAAACACTTGCAGATCAAATATGTTGAAGGGAACAAATCCTGATTGGACCACAATGAATCCCCCCGATCCAACCTTGGAGGGGTGTCCTCATGCACTCATTGCCCCTTTGGGCTTTACACTTTGTAATACATCTGCCATTAAGCCCACAAACAGAAGTTGCAATGCTTTGTAAGTGCATAGTGCAGTTGTACATACTCACGGTAACAAACCTCAGTACTCAAGGGGGTTCTGAATACTACATACCAAATCTTGCCTAAAACACATCAAGTCATTACTGCAAATTAATAAAAGAACACATTAAGACACCTCATATTTAAAGATTTGTAGATTACATTTAATACATTAAAAGTTTGAAGGAAGTAATTGGTTTAATTTAAAATTTTTGTTTCTGCCATCACTACACTATTTTGTATTTTTTAAATGAAAACCAACGGGTCTCCGAACAACAAACATACAGTACATTAGGTGTTCCTGAATGAATTAGCATTTTTGATTGATTCAGTGAATGATTCAATGACTTACTCACTTATCACCACTTCCTGTACTGGCGTGATAATGTAACCTGCAGAAAGAGTCACTGAAAAATTCCTTCTTCTAAAGCACAACGATAGTCTGTTTGGAATGTGCAATAAAGACAAGCAGAAGGATGCAAATATTTAAAAAACGTCCCAGTGGTGTGGACAAAATATCAGCCAATCAAATTTAAAGACCGGAACTAACTCCAACTGAATGCAACAATGGATAAGTTTACATGCAACCAAATAACCCATTTGTAATCGGATTGACGGCTCAATCGGACTGAAAAACCTTAATGTAAACACCTTAATCGATCCGATTGAGCTCGATCGGATTGAAGGGGGTGGTTTATTCCTTTTCTAATACGATTGAGAGTGCATGTAAACACTCGATGAAATTTCAATCGGATTGAAGGGGGTGGTTTATTCCTTTGCTAATACGATTGAGAGTGCATGTAAACACTCGATCGGATTGAACCCCGAAACTGAAAGAACTGCGCATGTGCAATGACGCGGAAATAGCGTAA